TTTTTTAATTCCATCGGTATTAATTTGTGCAAATTTTGCTTGAAATAGATATTCAAAGCCATAATGAATCCATTAATGTATGTTACCCCGAGATAATATTCATATATGGACTCAATTTCAGACTTATTACCGACCTACTTATTTTAGCTGGTTCAGTGTGTGTCTAGCCTAGCCGACGACGAACGGAGCCGAGTCGGGACTGTCGGGAGTGGGGAGCGCTGAGCGCGAGTCTTTGCGTATGCGTCATCGCTAGTCGCCGCACACTAGTCTCCGGAGAACTGGACAAAACAGCCTCGAAAAGTGACTTCATCGGCGATCCAGTACTTTGCGACTCTATTGTACTCTATGACTCTTATCAGTGAAATGCGTAACCTACAATGTTTTGTCCGCAAAAAATCAATTTCTGACATTTCCTTCAAATCGTTTTTCTTGTCTCTCTTGGAGTCATGAACTTTCTGCAATTATTTAGGGAGCAAGTCTGCTTCATTATCCCATTCATATATTTTTGCAGTTTTAGAATCCCGTAAATTAACTAAATATATTTTAGATAGTCCTTACTTCAGGTAGAATCGTGATTTATTAATGTTTTACTCCCAGTTAAAAGTGTTTTGCAACTCGTGGATTCGGAAATTCAAATGATTGTGCGTGCATTTCATCAATCATATTCTACCCTTATGTGATAAGTACCCTCTAATCTCTGGTCTTCCATTTCATTGATTTTTTTACTTCAAATCAAATCGTCAAACTTATCAACCAGAATGGTACGAAGAGACTATGAAATAAAATTCTTCAATTATGCTCCGGGTAACGTTGTCAATCATTCGCTGATACTAATCAAAGGCTTCATCGTATGTAATAGTAACATAGATGGTGAGGATGAGCCCTCAACAGATGATGTAAATGGGAATGTGGAAGATGCAATTCCTGATACCATTGAAGTTTCTGTCGGAGAAGCTGACACCTCTTCCTCTAAATGGGATGTTGTCAACTTAAAATACAAGTGTCTAGTCAATTTAAGCTTCGGCAAAAATGTATTAACCTTTAGATTTGCTGAAACCATTACCACTTTAGTCCTATCCTATGTTCCTCGTGATACTCTATTCCGTGTAACGCCAGTGTATATTATCTGTGATGAGGATGATGGAAGATTCCAAAGTCCTGAAGGCTGTGATAACTCAATTGAAAGTGCTTGCAATCGTATTAATCTTGGATGTAAGCTGATACAATGCCTGGTCTCGAACAAGTTGTTTGAGAAAGGATTTGGGCACAAAACATTCCAGCTAGAAAGTGATTTCACCCACAACAGCACCAATTGCCTAGTCTTTTACAGCAAACTGCCTGTGTGCTCTGCTAGGACCATGAAGCCAGAAGACTTGTGGGAGTACTTTGGCCGTGAAATTATGACTTCCATCCATGGTAATCAAGATTGCAAATTTCTGGCATTTTTGTCTTGCACCATTTGGGATGGAACAACGGTTAAAGCCCATGCTGCCCTTGGTGGAGGAGGTTTAGCGTTGTTTGGGAGTGCCTGTTTGCATACTTGGCCCGACTCCTTTGATAAAATCATTCCATGTTTCCTGAACTCAACGAAAATCAACAAATCTCTTCTGATGGATGATAGTTGCCATAGGTAAGAATCTTTTCCTCTCTCTTTTTTTTCTACCGACTTACCTAATACATTTTAAACTTTGCATGCGTCACTTTTTAAATGAATTTTTCAGTGCCATAGCAAATCGGGTTACCTACTTATGATTGTTTCACCAAAGAGCCAAATGTACGGTGTACATCATAGCATATTTTCATGTTCTCTTCATTATTTGTGAATACTCTCAATAAAATTGAAGCGCGCTCTATGCCCTAAACAGTATTTTGTAATTTTTTAACTGTAAGTAATACCATTAACCACTAGAATGTTGACCGTTTCTTTCTGGAATAATTTATTTATTACCTATCTTATTTTTTGTTGTATTGATTTATTTAATATTTCTAAACTTGAAAATTACCAATACCAATGGAGTTGCTATACGATATGCTGTCACTGGCATAACATGCACAATTTCTAACTTTGGATTTACTCTGTTTCAGGGGAACCTACGGTGGTTGCTTCAGCACAACCTTAGGAGCTGTATGCCATGAATTGGGTCATACATTTGACCTGGGACACACCAAGCACGGTCTAATGGGTAGAGGTTTCGACCACATTGATCTCGTCTTTACAATGAAATGTACCAAGAGCACTGAGCGCTGCTCAAAGAATGTGAGGAATATCAATAAAATTGGATCCACACATCATGCCGTTGTGACATTTATTCAAGACATCAATGTATCATGCAATATTAACTCTCTCCAGAAACCTAGGAATCCAACCCTGTCTCAAACACCGATCACATCCCTGAACAGAAATTCTCATGCACTGCAAGATGACCAGAACTCAGATGACAAAACATTTTGGTCAGCTAGCTGTGCCACAATTCTTGCTTTTCACAAGTGAGCTTGAATCTCATTAATTTTCCATTTTTCCAAAACTGAAAAAAATTATAGCTTTCGCTGACTCAAAAATTTGAAACTCGTTGACTATGAAGTTGAGGGAAGCATATTTTTCCTATCAACAACTGGGTCACCAACCATCCATTCCTGACAGAGGATTCTTATTCTTTTTGTGTCATTGGTGTCCCTCTAGGAGTGAAAAAGAGAGGAAAATAGTTGAAGATTCATGATAATTAATTGGTTAAATGCCAAAAATTAATGATTTGAGTTAGACAGTGAATTTCATTCCAAGCACCCAAAATAACATGTTGTAAGTATAACAAGCTAAGTATAGAATAATAGCTATTATTTATTCTTTATCATTCTATGGGCTAAGTACCACAGAGTAGTGCATATATGCTACAGCAGTTGTCAGAAATAAAAGTGTGAATAATTCGAAATCAACCCATTGACACCTAGCCCATAATGACAAGACCGGTAAATGAACAACCTAATAATGAAGGTGTCCTAATAAGTTGCAGTTTTATAAACGATTCATTGTGGCTCACAGTGAGCACATCTCTTAGCAAATGAATCTCCAGGATACAATATTTTTTGTATCTTTCTTCTTTTTTCTTAAAGTTCATTTTATCTCTGTTTTTAGGTGGTTCAATAACTTTGACAGGAACCTCAATCAAGAAGATGTCATTTTGAAGTTTGATAGGACCAGGTATGTAGAAATTGATTGTTTCGATTTTACTGCAGGCAGAGATAAATAACTTGCAAAAAAACTCAGGGCGAAGAGTTACAGTCTATGCCAAGAAAGGTGGCAGCTGAGAGAGTTGGGTGAGCAGCTCGGTCTATATTTTAAGGGCTCATTAACTTGAGCAACCCTCAGTTGTATGAGAGCCAGTTTTCTTGTTTAAACAATTCCCTAAGCTAGTCAATGATTCTGCTTTTCAGCAGACACTTTTTGTGGCAAATACACCACCTAGTCAAAATCAAGCATTTTTTTCAGTAGAGCAGGTGACAGCAGCTCAAATGCAGAATCATTTTTGTCAAATATTTTGTAGACTGTTCCTCCAAACAGTGCAACTTTGATGGATTTTCGTAGTCAATGCTCGATGTGAAAAATTTTCAGATTTTACTTATGTCGAAGTAAACACGAGCAATCCAATCTTTCAATATTGTAGCAATATAATATGCTCTCCTAAACTGCTAGCTAAGGAAAAACACTGAATGGAATGTCATCAAATGTTAAATTCTCACTCAGAATATACTTATTTTAGAAGAAAATTACAAATATTTTTCCTTGAAATTTTCAGACACTTTAGATAAACTACGAATAAGATTTTAAATATTAGAAGAGAAACCTGTCTGAACCTTATCTGTTAGCGGCAAAACCCGATTCCAGGCAAAACTAGTTTTGCCAGAAATGAACCGGCAAAACTAGATCTGCCTAGTCAAAACCTGCTTTGCCTGATTTGTAAAGGCCAAACTAGCCGACCGTAGGCGGAACTAGTTTTGCCCGCTGATGTTGAGGCAAAACTATTGAGGTCGGTCAAAACTAGTTCCGCCTACTTGGCCACACAAGGTTGCTGGTGCTACTGGAGTTTATTATAACACTTTTTACCAGTAAAGGACTTCTTGGTGTAATGCAATGTTGACAGGCTGATACAGAATTTTTCCTGAGCACAGCAGTATATTTTACATTAATGTTAACCATCTTAAAGTATTTTTCTTGCTGACAATAAGTGATGAATGCAGTAGCTGATATGCTGATGTCTCACGGTGAAATTTTAGACCTGTGCTGAGTGAAGATGGGCTCAGAAAAACCCTTTTTCAGAGTTCTGCTTGATTAAACTTTAATTTTAAAATTGGCCAAACAATGATTTTTACAAGTTGTCTCAATCTAGGTACCTCTCATAGTTTCATAGAGATGTAAAATAGGTAACATTAGTGTCTAGAAAACCCTCATATTGAAACTGTTAAGCCTTTTTGCAAGTGGAGGAAGCACAAAACTTTTGAACTCGAGAAACTGAACAGTACACTAATCTTCTTTTTTTGTAAAACTTTTTTTCACAAGAAAATGAGAGATTAAAGACAGAAATACCCACCTATCTGGTATGTTTCTCCTGTCATAGTTTAAGTGAATATTTCTAATGATTGTGTTTTCTTATTATTCCAGAAATGCTGTTATCTCAAACCGAGGCATTAAAGTAATTGAGCTGCGGAAAGAAAACGGAGATGTACTGCATTCATGGCAGTTTCCAGAGAATCTTGCAAAAAAGAAATTGTTTTTGGTGCCTGTACAGCATCTAAATGTTGCAGAAACAATTGTAGTTGAAGACGCTTTTGGTAATCTGTTAAAGCAAAGGCTTAGTAGTCTGGTTTGAACTTCCCTCATTATATCTTGCATTATTTAGTATGTATTCAAGCTCTATTCGCTTTTTGGTACATGGTTTGTGCAGCTTTGAGAAGTGCTCAAAAAATGCTTGGTTTTGACATTTTTTTTCAAGGGCTATAAAGAGCTTGAATTTTTATCTTTACTAATTGTCAGTATTAAATTGTCTGTTGTAATAATTGACAATGCATTTTGACACCAAATAGACCATTTAGAAGTGCATCCCTCCTGTAAAAGAAAGCATTATCTACCTCTAAAGTGAACTAAAATTTTATGACTTGGACTTCTGATGCAGGAAGAAAACTGAGCATTGAGGAAAAGGTAACAATGAAGGTGATAAAATGTGCTGGAATATTCCAGAGGCGTAGAATCTTCCAAGCTTCCACATTTTCATGCGCCCACCTACTGACTCTTTAAAGAATGTCTCATTAATATAAAAAAGATGACTTTCTTCTTTTCCATTTGATTTTTGCCCCTTAAAAATTCGTCTACCTTCCAAAGTTTGGGGCCTTTCCCAACTTTCACATGTTTGCTGATGAATGTGATCAAGCATTTTCTGCACCCCTGGAAAATTTCAAAAAGTGCTTGACTGAATAGTCTTAAAGTTGCACAAACTATGGATCAAAATGGTCACTCTCGTTTGCCTTAAAACTTATCTTTTGATTCCTAGATCATTCCAAATAGGATAATATGCAAACCTCTGTCTGCTGTTAGTTCCAAATTGAAAGAAAAGCTCATAGGATATTGATACAAGTTGAGGACTAGTTCTTTATGTGCCTTGTTAAAGGGTCAAATAGGAAATTCCTTTGAAAATTTTGGAACTTTGGTTCTCCCAAGATGCAGTTGTCTGAAAAAAACGATAAATTGTGGTATGTGCAAGGAACAGGTTTTCCAAAATTCATCTCAATGATAGAAATAATTGTGATTGGAGTGTTATTTCCTCACTGCTGATCATGATTTATTCACTGTCAGATCTCATAAAACAGTATTTTCATTTTATTCCTTTCTTTATTTTTATATTTATATGTTTTTCATTCAATTTTTCTCTCTTTGTGTTAAGCTAACCAGGGAAGAAACAAGCGGAAACAAGCAGTGGCCAGATTTCTTTACATATATTCTTAATCTGAATGCATTTTGCTTTTGAAATTCCATCCTCAGTAGGTACTTAAATGATTAGATGTTTCTTGTTAAAAATCTCTAACTCATTTATTCCTTTCATTGCACTTAATGAGCGAATATGTATCTATCTGACTTGATTTGCACTGCTAGGTAGGTAATCGGTTCACTTCCAGTGAGTGCTAAAATTTTAATGTTGCTTAAAAAAAATCACAAACGGTTACCGAGTCATGTGCTAATGTCCTTCTAATACCTCTTCTGAGAAATTCAAAAATCCAACCATGTACCTTCTCAAAAACTCACATGCCCAGGGCTTAATCGGTTTGATTTACGATTAGTTTAGTTTTTGAAATTATAATTAATTTATATTTTTAAATTTGAATTTAGTCTCCTCCTCCCTCCGAAAAAACTGCAGGCTCACTCTGTCTATATAGTATTTTCGAGCAGTAAAATATTAAGAATCAGTGAAAGTAGGATCCATAACAGGAAAACTTGCTATAAATGAAGGAAATCCTTTTTAATCTTCAGTGTTAGGCTTTCTAATTTTACTTCATGATTCCCATTACGCCTAAGATGCAGACTTCTCCTGCAGAAATCCTATGAGTTCAAACAACTTTGTACCATTAGAGATTCCTCTCTCAGTCCTTAATTAGAGATGGTTAGCTATTGATTTAACTGGAACTTCCATTTTAGAGTTGATCAAATCGTAGATTATCAGGCAACAAGCAGGATCCTGTCCATCAGGGTTTATTGTTGCTTGATACATAGTTGTTCTATTACCAAAACATTCCCTCTAGCCAGATGGCCTTAAAATACTTGAATTATAGTGAATCAAATATTTTTTCATTTTCTAGGTATTGCTTCCTTTTAAAAATTTTACGTGTTTAGATTTGTAAAGTAGCCAATGAGGATAGATTTTGTATCCACTCACATTGTAGGATTGCTTTGATCTTTAAAGTACTGATTGAATGTCAATGAATGTGGCAAAATTTAAATGCAATCTCTCTTGTGGTTAAAAAAAGATCCGGGTATGAATTACAGTGATTTCATTCCTTTCTATATAAAATTCGTTTTTATAACCAAGTGTGTGCATTTATTGTAGCTGTTAATTGGATATCTTACCAATCGCTTAAGGAAATCTACCTATGCTCAAATTGTTCATGATATGAATCAAATTTTTTTCTTATAAAGGACACATGCACGAGAATCAATCAAAACACTGTAATTCACGTAGCATGCTATGGAGATCATATGTGAAAAATACAAATCTGATCAATAACTCTCAGGATCCACATCTCATTAAGAATGTAAAGATGTTTTACTAAGCCAAAACTTTAAACTTGTCATTGCATTGAATTTGAAATTTTTCTCAATGATTATCTTAATTATCAGCCTCAGTTTGTCAGCTTGGTTTTGCTTTGAAGTTAATGTAGACTGCTCTGTGTTCTAAGTCAATTTTCTTTTCTTTTCTAATTGAGTCTCAAAAATTATGGATGAAAAAAAGGGAAAAGAAAATACATTAAGAACCTCCCATCAAGATAAAACCATCTTATGGAATAATAGATCCAAAGCAAATGAAAGTGATGCATCAGGTACATAATTTTAGCTGAAGTTCTATTGTCATATAATCCATGTAGATTTATTAATCTTAAGTAATCCATACCTCTTCAAACTGTAAAATAATTTTCGTAGGGTAGAACAAAATTTTGAGCAAAAAAGAGGTTAATTTTCTTCAGTAATCCAATTCCTGTTGTAAATTGAATTTGGATTTTTGAAATTTTGCTATTGATTTGTTTTGAAAACTATAGAATAGAAAAAACTATAGAATAGAACTCGAGTCTGTCCAAAAGTTGCCAGCCAAAATTTGCGTTAGGTGTTTCATTGACGCCTCTAAAATTTTTCTTGTCTTCTAAGTCTCTCAAGAATACTGCAATATATGTTAAATATTATTTTTAAGGATGGCTTTTTCAAATATTATTCTTGAAGTTTGGAAGAAAGATTTTCTTCTCTGAGAAAGGTAGTACTTTAAGTTTAGGTAGTCTCAGTTATATGTTTGTAGCGCCGAAAAAAATCAAATTTAGAGGAATGGAAATAGAGAGTCAGAATGACATGCTCTGCATTTTAATTTAAAGGTCAGAGAAGGTCATTCAATTCCTGAACAGCTGTACATAAATAATATTACACTGATCACTGGAAGCAATCTTTCATCGCTGTTTTTATTTTAAATTAGCTGTTCAAACCTCACCAGGACTTAGATTTTACATCAACTTAATTGATTTATCCTCACTTAAACCTTCAAAAAAAAGTGAATAGTTTGATTGTGGTGCCTTGTTTTTAGAATATCACCAATTTTTCTGAGGTATACTGGGAGACATTTTTTCTCCATGTGTTGCAATTCAAGTCCTTGTCCTCGTAATTTTCTCACAAAGTGAAGCTGTCTTATACAAATAGCATGATCTGTATTTTTGCTATGCTGCGCTTCATTCATTCATAGTGCTATTTTTAAACAAATCCACCCTGTTACTTTGTAAACTTGTTGTAACCAACAATAAGGAGGAAGTTTCAAGAGAAATCACTCAGTCTATGCTGTCCCAAAATATCTTCTAAGTCTCTTCATAGTTCCTCATTATCAATCAGTAAGTAGCCCAGAGGTAAAACTTTGAAATTGACTCAAGGGAGAAGAAAATTGAAAAAAAACAATAAACTTACTTGAAATATCTATATAACTCTTTGCGTCAAAAGCCAGTCGTATGTTCAGGATTTTTTTGCATTCAGAAAAAAGTCTAGGTCTAATTTTTTCAGGGATTTATATTTTTTCAGTTTTTTACTCAACCTCTGACTTAAATGTTGGAGGCTATAGAGAATGTCTTGTCCATCAGTCAAAAGTACAAAAGGCAGGAGTAGACTTAGAAAAATAATCATTCTATAGTGTTTTAAAACCTCTAGAGGCGTTAATTTCTTCTAGTGGTCATTTTTACAATAATTGCATAATATGTAATACTCACGTTTGATGAAACTAGTTTATCAACCAAATAGTATTTTTGGTTTTTCACTAATGCTCTAGTCGTGTTCATTAAGTTTGTTCAGTGTCCAGTAATTGGTAGTTGTTTAATTACTGTACTCTTTAATCACTGTACCTCATATATAGTATTAAATCATGAAAACTGGAAGTACTTTGTCTACTTATTCAAGTGTGAAACTGTTTATGAAAAGCAGCAGCTTATAAAATACATAAATGAACTCTCTTACAGTTTCTACATGCACAAGTAATCTGTGACCTTTCTTGCATCGAGGTGCTACATATTTGGATATTTGACTTGTATCAGTAGTTTAATTTTTAAAAAAATCAGGTCAGAGTTTTTGTAAAATCGATTTTTGCCTATTTCTTTGGGTAGTTATTAAACCAAAAATCATAGTAAGCTCCACGAATTTGAAAAATAACCTCAATATCCAGGAGATCCTAAACATATATATTTTTCTTGTTCATATCATTGTTGTTTTGTTAGCAAAACCGGTTAAGAGACAGCTCTCAGAGTAAAGAAAAATAATATGTTGAATCAGTAACAAGTATTGTGTTGTGAAGTATCCTTCTCAACGATGAAGGCGTTGTAAAAAAAATCAAGGAATCAAAATGAGTATCAAACGGATGAATATTTACGTTCAAATGACTTCAAAACTAGTGAGAAAAGATCAGATGCTTGTGAAAAACATTTTGTAGGAGGTTGAAATGAACTGAATGTTACGAAAGAAACTAGGTCATTTTTCAAAGAAAATACGTTATGTATGATTCTAAGTTCAACAAGGAGGCACCTACATTACATCCCTCTGCCGCAAAATGAAAGCCCACAAATAATGTTTTGTCGTCCAAATACAGATCTAAAGCGAGGATGATAAATGACACTTTGCCGTTGAGTTTATTAACCGATTGGTCAAATCAATTACAATATTTTCTCGAACACCTTTAGTAGACTGTATATGGTTTTAACATTTTGAAATTGACAAAAAAATATTTGTAATATCATTACACATAGGTGTTAGGGTTTATAATGGGTCGGAGGACCTTTGTAAATTCATTTTCTGAAATTACGGAGTAAACTAGGTAAGCTTCTAGAAATTTTATCAGATTTTTCAGAACCCTTGTTGAAAGTGCCAAAAATAGAACCCGTTTGAAGTGATATTTTTGGCAGCTCTAATCAGAAAAACTCTACTTTAACCATGCTAGAACCCCATACAACTGGTTCAGTGAATGAAAATACTAATTGAAAATGATTGGACCAAATAAATCTGTGAGGATCAGCAATCAGCATCAATATTTCAGTGACTGGTTTAACAATATTCCTCAGGAAAATATTACTATGGCAATGTCTTCATCATCACTGCAATAGATATGGAGTTTCACAAAGAAATAATGACAATAATAATTCAAATATTCAAACAATCTTTAATATTAAAAGAAAGAAAAAATTAGGAGGAAATGCATATAATCATCGGTCCATTTTTATGGTTTTACAATAAACTTTGAATCCCACTAAATTTTTCCTCTCAACTTTTACAGTCATACCTGCCAAACAAGAGCACAGTAGAAACACATTATGCGGTAATAAACTTTCCGATGATGTAGGAGCAACTGTAGTTTTGACTGCAGGCTCAAGTTCCCCATTTGTTACTTTTTACATGTTTGTAAGCTTTCTTACTTAGACATAGATAAGAATTGTACGATAGTTGAACTGAAATACACAAACGTTGATCAAAAGAGATTATGACCATGGGAATAAACCAAACCAGCCATGTGGCTTGTCACAACTAAACACAATTTCTTTTGGCTTGTACTCATCCTTGGGAGGCTCGATGTATTTGATTGGTGGTGGTGGTTTAATTTTTAGTCCAAATCGACCCCCTTTCCTTTGCCATAGACCCGACCTTGGACGGTTACCTGCTTCCCTCCATCCTATGGTGCCTAAATCTGTAGAGGCATGCTGTAGGTTTGATACGCGCCCTGGAAAACCAAACGAACATTCAGAACAATATTTTAATGATGAAAGACTGCTTAGAAGACACTTTGCACATAGGCAGGGGTATCCCCAGAATGAGGTGTTGCCTTCAACTTAAGCCATATCCAAAATAAACAAAAAAATCAGCTTTTTATCCTGATAAATGAGAAGCACAAGTCAAATGCACTGCTTAAAATAGTGACATAATAACACAGAATTCCACCAGGAATTTATTTCTCGATAAATTTCAAGTTCCGTGTCTAAATTTTTTGTAGCTTTTCAAAAATTATTTTCAGTCAATTTAACTTAGGTTTTACATTCCATACAGCTCCTAGAAATTTAAGGTATTTGAATTGCCTTCTGCAATGTTCATAACGTAACCACTACTTAAATTTTTTTTTACTTGTATACTTCAAATCGTTTTTTTCTTATTTTATTTTTGACCATGTGCAGCAGAGGTAATTACTTTTTTCAAATAATATGAATGAAAAAAAGAAAAAGAATGAAATTCTTGCTATTTAAAATGATAAATAACATCAAAACGCTGAGCCTTTAAGAAATGGTTGGATTTTCAAAGTTTTCATACAGGCTCTCAAACTTTATTGCCACACGATTGCGTCTGTTCAGAACCTACATGAAGGCTCTGTGATTTTGGTTATCTCCACTTAAATGCGCAAATGTAATAGCAATTGCTGATCATGGCTTTGTGAAATTGTTCAGCAGCAAATAATACTTTGAGTTGCAAGGTCTCTAGAGCACTACAAAGCTTAAGTATTAGATTTTATTCTACTGAAGGAGCCTCAATTTTGTTGTGGATTAACGGAGGTTGGCAGTATTACGTTCGATCGCCAAAATTTGCATTGTGTTAGATCACACCAGAAATTCAGTGTCTATTAAGATTCTTCAAGAAAAATTCACAAACTCTCTTAACCCTTTGACTCCTGAGTTAGATTTTCACCCTGTGCTCCCCCAGTCTAAGTAAGGAATGGCAAAAATGACTATTTTTAGTTTCCTGACCCTTCTTCGCCTGTTTTTCAACCAAACAGCCTGAAATTAGCGTGCCTTGTCCTTAAGTATGGACGAGTGAAGATCAGTCGCCAAAAGTTAATTACTTGTGCCCAATTTCTTTTGGAATAAATAACACCGAAAATGAAGATTTTTGAGGTTCCAAGACAAGAATACTTGTCCGTAGGGCCTCAGTGAGGATTTGCGATGTTGAGTATTCTTGTCCGTAGGAGGCAAAGGGATAACCATTTTAAATAATTCTTCTTGTAACAAAACGTAAGTAGTGCGTAAGTGCTTCTTGCTTCTTGTCTGGTCTGAACTACTCACACAAAACACACTGACAACTACACTTACAAAATGGCTGCTCTTTCAGACTTTTCTCCTACTTCTGATTATCATGCATTCTTGGAGTTGTTGGTTGCATTGCTTCCACTAATGTACACAAGACGAACAATTCTGCACTATTGTTGCTGTTTTTTTTTTTTACTCTTCCAGTTCTCTGGACCAGTTTTGAAATTTTCATATTTCATTCTGACAATCTGGATTTTTAGACGCCCAAAACATTGGAAGGAACACATTTTTCATGAATGCTTACCCACAGTTGCCATGCAATGAGGATCCAAAGAAAGTTCATGTTTGGAGGGTAACTGCACAATCACTCTATCCCCGATTTTACGGGTGATGGTGGCAAATGATCCTGCAGCTTTACAGAAAGCGGCTCCTTTTTCAGGATACATTTCTAAATTGTGTATGACGGTGCCTAGGGTTAAAGCTCCTATTGGGTAAGCATCGCCTTCCTCCGCAGCAACTGTAAACATTACCATTAAAGATGAATTACTGGCAAAGTCAAAAAGTGAAATGAAGTGGTATGTGTTTTGTCTCACTTTCTTAAAGTTCTTAAGAACAAAAGGTGAGTTTCTTTAAAAAATTACAAACATAAGGTGCCCCATAAAAATGGAAACCAGATAATTAAAAACATTTTTGAGAGAATCATTACACCAATTTAAAGACAGATTGTGGGAGGTTTCAGAGCAAAGCATTAGCCTCCTAACACATCCTTATTTGGACAAAAATTTGCTATGATACTTATAACCCTCTTTTAAAAGTGTATATATATGTACATGAAATGAGGGACCTTCAGACGCCCTGGGGAGCCCCTACAAAATTAATGCCCAAAATGGAATGGTACTACAAAGCAGGTTGTACGAAAACTGCTGTGGTTATTTCCTTGATTTTTTATTTTGACGGTGTTTGGTAGGTACATTAAACTCAAGGTGGGAGGATTTGCTAAGAATTTCTATAACACCATACTTAATTTGAAAAATTAAGACAGATGGTCACTGAAAAATTACTCCAGTTATCTTATGCTTTCCTTGAAAAAGTATGTAGAAAAATTTAAGTGCAAAAATAGAAAAAAATAAAATTAAATGAAGTAGCTTTTATGACAGAACCTGGAATTCTGGGAATAAACATTGAAGTTTTGAGGAGATCACCAGCTTTCATGTTTGCAGAGGCCACAATGTATTTCAGTCTACCTTCGACACCAACAAGAGCAATATCTGCTGTTCTGAGTCCAGATTTTATGATTTTAAGAACCTTTTCAATGGTTGGAGGGCTGTCATCTTTGGGTCCTACGCGGTACCAATCAATCCAATGATACTTATGTTTGATTCCTCCACCAAGCCCTTTCACAACAACTCGACCTGCACAAAAAGGGATTAGCAATAAATATAGGTAAACTTTTTTTCAATCAACTATAGTAATCATCTATCTAATTTACACTGCAATTTTTTTCATCATTTTCCATTTTTGGCTGTACTTATACTTATGAAGTGGAACAGCACAGAGGAGGTTCGCATGATTCCAAGCAAAATCCTGCCGTCACGATGAATTTTGAAATTTTTTAGGTTGAGAATGATTTATACAACTTCTAAGCAGGAGCAATCAGTCACTAGGCTAAAAAACCAAAATCTGCCAATATTTTTGACTTAATTGATGCGATACGACAAACATCAATTTGATCACACCAAGAACCGTGGACGAATCACCTTCATTGCACGGTAACGATGGAAAGCTTCTGTAAGAAATTCTTTAAATTAATCAAATGATTTTTTTGAGGCAAAAGGCATAGAAAATGTAATAAGTATGAGCTTAACCCATTGACTTATGATTTAATTTGACCCTGCCGGGCCAGGAATTACGATTTAATTTGGCGAAAATCAGCACTTTTGAACACTTCAAAATAATCCAGAAATAATTTCTCAAAGGGTGAAAATTGACAAAATAAGCATTCACAATACAACGTTTGAGAAAAATGGTGAAAACTTCGAACACAATGATTTTTTTATGTGGTTTATAGCTGTCAAAATCGCAAAAATCGCAAAATCAGCGAAAATCAGAAAATTTTGAGGTTATTTCATGTGCAAACGCACAGTAATATGAAAATACCGTAACAAAACAAGAATTTACCGTACACAATAAGTCATAGGGTGGCCACACTACTCATATAAACATTGATGAGAACGCAATCTACCGCAGAATTGCCGAAATAACGCAAACAATCAGCGGACGGCTCTGAGCCGTCATTTCAGAGCTGGCCCAGCGCTGCAATGACGGCTGGGAGCCGTCATTTTAAGTCAATGGGTTAATCCTAATATAATCAGTCAATGATGCCAGATATTTATAAAAACAAGTCAGCAAAATCTCTGTCACCTGTAATATTTAACTCCCATTAATTTGTCATTGAGAATGGCTTAAAATTGCTCTTGAGACGTCCCACTTTTCAAAAATTTTAAAATTGTCTGGGGGAGGCCCCCCAGATCCCCCTCTGCAACTGGGGGAGTCTCCCCAGACCCCCCTTATCCCAAGTTCTATGTCCTGTTGTGTTCCCCCCCCCCNCGGTTCGATGTATCGTTTGGTTCAAAACAATAGAACATAACCTCAAACCAAACTGTAAGGATTTTAATTGGAAAAGCTGAAAATGCGAAATTTCCTGACAATTTCACTTTGCTTTGGCATTTGGTACTCAAAAGAATAAAAAATCTGTTTCAAAAGATCCGTTCTCTCAGATTTCTGAATTTACTTTTGAGGCTATGTTTATGTTTTGAACCAATCGATATCGATACAATCTCACCCGTTTGATGTATCGAATACGATCTATTCTGCCCATGTTCAGACATCCTACTGATATTTTTTTCTTCCTACACCTACAACCTACATCATTGAGAAATGAACAAATCATCACCTTCCAGCAAAAGTATCACAAGCGCCATGCGACATTTTTCCGCTGCCATTTTATTTTATTACAGAGAAATTGTTCAACAGAGTTGTCCGAACATTTCACTAATTTTTCTTTACACTGCTAATACCAGTGAAATTTTCAAATAGATTCAACCAAAAATTTCTCTGCAACAAAATGAAATGGCAGCAGAGGTTTGGAAATGTTGCATGGCACTCGTGATACTTTGGCCGGAAGGTGACGAAATAAGAATCTTGATTCAAGTTACATACCTGTTTCTGGATCTCTTCCTCCTAGATTAGTATACGGTATAGGTTTGACAGTATACTTTTCAGGGAAGTGAACCTCTCTTTTGTAATACCTCGACTTCTTCAGACGATGTTTATCAGCAAGATCTAAATGGGTGTGATTCCAGTTGCGGACGCAAGTGACTACAATTTTGTTAAAGTTTAAAATCTGAGGCAGCTGAACGTGACTATTGTAGATTTTAGGCTGCAACAACCTTAATGTTTGGGCGACCGGATTCATTTTAGAGCACTGATCTTGTAACTCAGTGCAAAGGATTAATGAAAATTGCAATAACACATGAACTACCCGAGTGTAAAAGGGGACACAGGACTTGACTTAACTCAACAGTCAGCTGTTAATTATATGGTTATACCTTCATCTGAATTAACCAAAGTTGAGCACTAGAAGGATTACATATATAATAGAAAATTTTCAAATAACTAGTTCTTCCTCTAATACATTTAATCGCGATTGCTGGGCATAATGGTGCACTAATTTGAGGTTAAAATTTTAAGACAACAACAAAGTGGGTGGTGGAACATATGTTGCCAAATTTGGCAAAATTTTAATTAGTTGATCTTAGTTGATCCTAACACTGCCAAGTGGAGCTTTACAAAACTACAGTAGCCTTGTGCAAGTCTTTTGGATTTTAGAAGTGCCCATTCTTGGCGATTATTATTACACCATGCCAAAAACAAACATTTATCATGTTGTTTTGGTTATGCAACTCAACTAGTGATAGTAGGGAATGTGAGACCAGTTATTGTGCATGTGCAGCTGATTTTCATTATTTTCCTCTGTTTCATACATCTAAAAACTCTGTGCAATTTTCTGTGAATAAATTTCTTGTTAGTAATTTAATGCAGTTTTCATCAAAAATCTTGGAATCGACTTGATGAATCATTGCCCCTCAGCAGAGTTCTTTTCTTATTCTTAACCTACAGCAGTTTGATTAAAATTTCTTGAATGAGGGTGGTGGCCTCACATATCTGTTAATATAAGTTGTAACAAAATAGCATCAACAAAATGGATTTAGCAGGTTTCCAAAGGCACCTTGAGAATTTAAGGGTATGGTATATTTCTCAATATCATTTACAGTCACTGTGAATTTTTCTAGAGACTATATTTCATGATTTTACTTACTGCATGTATGTCTGTTATGTATGCACTTATTGCACTAAAAACTTGCAACCATCAGGAACCCATCATTGCAGTACCTTGCTTCATTTTGTTTGAGCTCCTTACCTATTAATAATGGCGGTAGTGATCATAAGTATTGTATTATATTTTTTTTTTTATCATATTTCAAGGAGGCACAACATGCACTACAAATTCAGGATAAAGTGATATCGCCCATCACTGACTATTGAAGCGGGTACAATCCAAAAAGCTTGCAATGGCGTTTAATTTAGTAGAGCCCTCGCTTGTTACTCTGTTGACGTTTATAGTACAACTGGAAATCTGCCACGGCTCCTCAAGCATCGAAACTGAATGTATGAAACGAGATCAGTGATACTCTGAAGTAGACTAAACAGAGCTCGCCGTGGCATATGATCTAGCAGAACTCTTAACTGCGTTTAACTATGCTGACTCTTAGAGTGAAACTGAAAATCTACCACTTTCATTTCAGCATTTTAAGTCAAGTGATTTTCCACCTCTTTTAGAATGTCGGTGAAAAAAGAACAATATGCACCTAAGCTACTGGGTTGGCTTCATGTAAAACAGATTAAATCATCAGTGATAGCCCACTGCCACTCCAATTTGCTTCGGAGAGAAACTTGCAGGAATATGTTGGCTGTACTTGCGCGAAGAATGCGATAGAGTCAAAGCAGAGATGTATTCTACTACCTCTAGTTGCCGTAGATTACTTTCATAGAATCCCACCAGCAAGACTGTAGTGTTTACTATTCTTTTGCAAAAACTCTACCATCTTTGTAAGCCCTCCTCGGTGATACCATGTTTTCTTTTCAATCTCCGTTAGACTTCATTTTGTGAGGAGGAACCACAATTTGTAACTTATCTGTAAAAGCACGTATCTGCATTTGGGAACAAATGACACAATTCTTCTCAAATGAGCCAGAAATAGCAGTTCCTTACTCATTGCTAAATGAAGTCCAATTGTCTTTTAGTTACTTAGTGTATGTTTTTAATAATTTATTTCTTTTAATAAACATTTCAATAAGAGAACTTATCAATGTTTACAGATCATTTTCCTGTTGCACTTCATATTGATTTCATGGTGAGTAATATTTTTGATATCACACTTTTTTCTTCCTTCTTTTAGTCATATGAATTTTTATCTAGGAACTGATGTTTTACATTCAAGTATAATCATTAAAATGTTGATGTAAATTAATACAACTGAAATGTATCAGATGAAGCTGTGGCACGATTAAATTATTCGGTCTAGCATCCATATGCAAACGTTTGAAGGATAGAAATTTTGTTTTGTATAGTAAAACTTTCCATTAATTTTATTTTGATAAATATTCAAATCATAACAAGGGCAAATATGTAAGTAAGTAAAAGTAATTTGGACGGAGTTAAACAGAAAGGAACCAAGCCACATCGGGATCGAAGCGAGAAAATGAGGTTTAAAGTTTGGCTCCTGCATAAGACTCGATGTAAAAGATAAACTTCAAGTTCAATTTTTGCAAAATGTTCTCCAACAAAAACCTAGAATTTTTGGCGATAGATAGTAGAGCAGTGGTTTAGTTCAAAACCACTCATAACTCAATTTTTTCCAAAATGTGGGTTGGTTCCTTTCTGCTTAACTCAGTCCATTTAGAGAGGAGAAAAGTAAAATGTTGACATTCCTCAAGGTGAATTTTCATTTTTAAAAATATCTGTCACTCTTTTTTATCTGTTTTAAGGTTCAAAGCAGAATGTCAATTAAGTGAGAAATTTTAGAATGAAGAGGGGAAGGTCTGTAGATATGAAATGAAGTGATGATAAAGTGCCCATATCCCTGATAGCTAATATGAGTAGGGAGTGTATTGGATAAGCAAATTAACTGAGCAATGTAGGGCATAATGCAGGGCGTGGCTCCATGGTAACTATTCATCGCAAGTACCTCTGGGAATAATGTTTACATTGAATTTCAAACACAAAAACTGTTCCATGTTGCCAAGTTCTCACTCATGCTCAAAAATATTTCCTGAGTTCAGGGCATGTCAAAAGACTTTTTTTTGTCTTGATCATATCCTAAATTCAGGATTGGTTCCAGCAGGTTTCGCACATTTTCATCATCCATCCATTTTATCCATACAAGACATTGTCTGTAACTCAATATGAAGCTCATTTATTATTATTATTTTTTTTTTTTTTTTTTTTTTTTTTTTTTTTTTTTTTTTTTTTGTAATGTATTATCAAACATGACATACAAGAATTTTAAACAACTTTAACCAGGATCAGTCTAACTGCATTAAACTTTGCCCGATTTCCTCTCTTGTTCCTTTGTTTTAAATAAAAAATTAAGCCTCATTGTGCCCTAAAATTATATATTTTTAATTTTACGAAAATCCACAGCAAGTCTCAAGGCATTATGTTTTTGAGTTCTTGGCAAGTAATGTGGAAAATTCTAGGCAACTCGAAGTGCAGTCAGAAACTTTTCCATAAAAGTGGTTGTCTGGCCCTGGGATGCAAGAAATCCCAAAACATTGGCAACTGATTGTTTGTCACAAGCTGGCATTTTTGCCTCGCAGTGTTTTTTCTCATTGGTCTCCTGGTGAAATTCCAAATTCTATAATAACATGTGCGATCTTCCCCTCTTTTTTACAGTATTGAGCAGAAAAAAAAAGAGAATCATTTTTAGGAATTACCTCCAATCCCAAGATTTGCTTCACATTTGTTGCAGTCCTAAGATGGCAAGATCGGGCATTTTCTGCACACCTACTCTCACAGATCATAATTTTATCAATATTTTTTCCATCTATTAAGATAAAATCAAATGTTTTATTAATATACTCATTCGGATGTTCGATTTTATTCCAGGGCTCTTCTCGGATACTGGACTCCCACTGCTTATCTCTTCTATAATGGAGCCTTTTTGTTTACATTACTCTGGGGACTACACAACAAAGAATCGGAAGAACCTATCATAATGGTAAATTAATAAGACTTGCCTCCTCATAAAATTTAACTAAATCCCTTTTCTGTCTGGCAATAACTGCTGTCTGTCCTCTGAAAGGGACACGGAAAATTATCAAGAAAAAGAGATCCATCTACATACCTACTTTGGGAGTTTCTGGTTAAACAACTTTACCTGCTTCATTTATATCTCTGTCGTACTTCAAGACTTGAACAATGACAGCAAAGCTTGGGTGAAAATGGGGCTGTGGTTTGATCTAAGAGTTGCCCTGATTGTGGGTTTTTCTAACATAAAAATTAGCAAGAAAAGCGTTTTGGAGATAATTAATTAAAGCTTGAAACAGCAGTTTTGACCATAAGTGAAAAAGGCCTAAAGCTGTTGTAATAAAAATAACAGATATCTTCGACCTGAAGCTCATAACATCATTGAAGAGATGACATATAGTTTCAGCCCCTGTAAATCCGATGTACAACAGCCACCATATGATTCACATCGTGAACAAACTATTTCATTTCATCAAAAATGTCAATAACATCCACCACAATTATCTATGATATTGTGCGCACTAAAGACATTTAACCTCTCCTAAGGGGAATAGACAAGGTAGGTATTCAAAAACTTTTATAAGTTTGAAGTGGTATGTTTATGTTCGAAGTAGTAAAAAATGGTTTCCTGATTCCTATTCTTATTTGGTTTTTTTCTATATTTTCCCCCTATTTTTCTTTTCCTTTTTTTCCCCCTTTGTTTCAAAGGTTTTTTGTGATTTTTTTGTTAAGTTACTGCTGGTAGAGTGACTTTAAAAAAAGTACTTAACATGAATATGAATAAAGTAAGTATTGCTTTTTTGTAATCGAGTGGTTTTTCTTTTTCCTCCAGGCTCTGTACATCAATTGTCTGAGTATTCTGTTTGATGTTCCAGTCATCCTGTTCTTCTTCCCTCTTGTCAGTAAGTATTCATACAATGCACCAATACAATTGAATTGCTGTTATAACTTCCGTAGAGGGGACCTCAACATCTGAATGGTGCTAAAATCCCATCTTACAAATGACATACTATAATTTTAAACGCAAATTTTGCCAAAATTGAGAATACAATCTATGATAAAATTGCAAAGATAGTTTATACTAAAATTGCAAAAGAGAAATTGTAATTTTTGTTAATTAAGATTGCTCCATTAACCACTTTTTAACGTTTAATGGAAATAAAAAGTTGCTCTTTTGACTGAAACTTTGCAGTTTTTAGTGATTTCAAAAGAAAAATTTGTAAATGAAAGACTTAACCCCATAGAACAGTAACTGATGGATTCTAACATGAGAAACAACATTGATTTTTAGTAGGAGTCTGAGCTTCAAAATAAGACAATGTTCATTTTGGGAAAACAATTCAGAGCAAAGTTAAGATGGTAAGGTTCATGTCCTGATTTTTTTCATAGTTATTAATTTATATAAATACTCTTCTAACCCCCAAAAATATTTCATGGATCTGACCGAAGTTTAAAATAGACGATTTGGGATAAGGTCTTTTTTTTGGTTTTACCTATCAAGGGATCAATTTTGTTTTCTTAAACTTTTCAGGATTTGGTAGTCAAATATTAAGTATAATTGCATCACTTCTCAATTTACTTCTGCGATTTTTTACCATCATCTCCCTGAGCAAACTCCTGCAGCAACGCAATGGAACTATTCCACCATTTTTAAGCAGTATTTTAGGTGAGTGACTTGTTCTTCTATATGAATTTTAGCCAAAGTTCACAATCAACCAAAGATGCTCGTTTTTTTATGAATGTCACATCTATTTTATGGACATATGAAAGGAGAAAATGTTTCCTTCAATTTGATGTCTCTAGATGAGTTGATGATTGTTACAAAATGCCTGTGGTTTTTATATTGCTTCCTTGGAAAGCTAACTAACTTTATTTTGGAATGGTGTAATAATGTCCCATTACATACTTTGCATCAATAATTTTGAGAGTTACTTATTGTCGGCTGGTTGTCATCATAAAAGTATAAATAAATGTTGTTCAAGTTGTACTCGTAGTTAGGTTTTTTTTACTAACGCCATGAATAAGATCAACTCATCAGATTTCGTAAGTGAACTTTTCTCAAGCCAACTCTCAGTTTGTACCATGGAGTGTTCACTGTGTCAGACACTGCTACATATTGGTTTATGACCTCTGTAAAATCGCTCAGATGGATGCACGTTTCAAAATGAAGTTGCTTTGAAAGCTGTTTCATAATCTTCATCCCAGTTCCATGTTTCCTGAATCTAATTCAGTGATCCTCTGTGTATCCTTCTCCATAATTTTTTGTTTGATGTGTTGGAGTGATTGTACGTTGGAAATGTTTTGCCCACAGTCATGAAATGTTAGGTCGGAGAGATAAAATTTGCACTAACTTGCATTCTTAAAAACCGTTTCCTTGGATGAATTTTAAGGGATTTGCCCCAGTACTTAACGTATCAATGAATGTTATTCTCTTCTTGTCATTAGCATAAGCGCAGCTAAAAGGGTCCTCTTCACTCAAAAGGCTCGTGCTCTTCCCTTTGAAAATATGGGACCATTTACTGTGCTTTTGATTTGTGATTTTTTGCACTGTGATACCAGATTTCTTGATTGATGGATGATCCCATGCCCTTCCCTAGCAGGAATCTTTCCCCATCATCATTGTCACTGGCTCTACTATCTCACTATTGTTACCAACTTGCTTTGTTTTCCTTTTGTCTCCTGTTATCTTTCTTATTCAATTTATGAAGCACATACATTTTCTCATCAAACCTCCATTGAAACGTTTTACTGTTCAACTTTAAATGTTCTCTTTAACATTCAACTCAGTCTGGTATTCTGAATTACCTCTCTCAACTTCAGGTTCTAGCTACATCTCATGACCCTCTAAACAATGAAGGTCCAAAGTTGGTTTGCTTGTAAAAAAACACTTGAAGGAAAAGTTACTCATCATAGAAAAAAAAAACGACCAGTCTTAGGGCAGGCTAATGATGAGTTCAAAGCCGTCAACATTATTCCAATCATTTAAATTTCAGTAATAAGTATGAATGCTAATTTTATTCATTTCAGAATTACAACTATTCTTAAAAATCAATTTTTATCAGGTCTGCAGTATTTGCAATGATAAATTTCATAACTTTTTTAATTCGGAATTAACCATTCACCTAAATGTAACTCTCCTCAACAATGACAGCAGAAGATGCAGTGGGAAAAAATTACATGAGACTAAAAGGCTTGTCCTATTTTTCAGTCAAAACGTACATCCTTATAGGCTAAAGCTGTGCTGCATCCCGCAATTAGTAGATACAGTCAAATGTAATCCTATCGAAAAGTTTTGTTGTGCTTTTTGGTTCAAATGTGTTTAATACTTTCCACTCTCTGCCAAACTTTAGGAGTTGAATTTGCTTCTTAGTTTTTTTCAAAACTGAATACTTCCAGAATCCTCTTATTAATTTTGAAATGCAGGCAGGGTTCATGAGTCAATTCAATGATAAAAATTTCATCGGGTTTCTTTTCTGCCCTTGAAATTTTTATCTTACATTTTGTGTTTAAATCATTTTGTTTTTTCGAATCCCCTTCATTTTTACAGGGGTAGGGACTTCCAGACACCCTGACTCAACTGTTGAAGCTTAATTCTGTCAATTTTCAAACGTTACAATTTTTTTCCGATGACAGCAAAGACCACTTTCTAAACCGAAGTATAAATTTTTATGACTTTAAGTTAGGCACAGAAAGGTAAGATCTTGGGTTTTTGAGTGGGTCTCTGGATTTCACTTGTACCATACTACTAATATTCTTCTTGAAGCTTGCAAATCAAGTGATGTGCGCTAAGCTTCTTAACTAATGGTCTGTGTACAGTCTGTAATCCCCCTCCTCCAGTGGTTCCTCCATCTCTCATCCCTGATACTGAGGGGATCTCTTTCTGTTTTGGATTAATTTCATATTTCCTTCCCTTTTTTCAATTAATTTATGATGAATTAATTTTCTCATATTTTTTTTTTCTTGCCACTCAATGAAATAATATCCTAACTTTCAAGAAGTTTTCATTGAATCATTTAAGTTTTTTTGTTGCTGTCCAAGAAATTTTCTGTGAATCTGAGGCTAAACTGAGAAGTAGTTTGAACACATATCTGTCTTTAGGAGGGGTGCAAGAGTTAAAGAAAATGGGTAGCTTGCATAGACCTCTTACCAGAAAGTTGAAACCTGGTGTTGGTGACGTTCTTTCGGGGTTCAAGTGTACTCCAGTAAGAGAAGGAAATAGGATAAAAAAAATGGAAGAAGAAGAAACTGAAACTCGAAAAAAATTAATGAGATTACCAATGCATTTTGAAATTCCATTGACCCTGCATCAGAAGCAGGAATTTGTCCATGACGTAAGGACTTTGGAGTTCTGGAACGTCTGCCTCGGCAGTTTAATTTTTTTTTCTTCTTTTTTTTTTGAGTCTGCGCATTTTGATTATTCCAGATTTCTTTTTCTTACCTCAGTTTAAGAATAAACAAATGCCTTGCTCCCCCTTTCTGCTTTACATTTTGCACATTATGCACCTCTATAATTAGTCAGTTGAAACATTAAACCAGTCAAGCTACAACTGGCAACTACTCATTTTAGTATCTTTCCCTAGGTTCTCATTTCTCATGCCGTTTTGGAGTTTCGATATGTAAAACAATTATAGTCATCTCAAGAGGGAAACAAAGTTCTATGAATTTAATCTCATTATATGTTGCTTCGTGTTTAGTTTATTTTCTGGTGAAGTTTTTTCATTTTAATTTTATGCAGGAGTACAAACTCAAATTGAAAGAGATAAAATCGCTACCTGAAGACAAAACTTAAAATTTTTATCTTGAAAGTTGAGTTCATTTTCATATGTTTACATTTTTCCCTGAGATGCTTGATAAATTATGATCGGTAGTGATCAGTCAGGGATGAATGAAACGAGTCACAGGCTTTTTGACTAAATCGATTCTTGTAACTTCCCTCCCCTCCTCAGATCTTCCAATTCAATTATTTAAGTGCTCTGTTTGACATGTGATGTGAAGTTGTGTGTTGTTGTGTTTTGTTTATTTGTGTGCTCCTTCATTTTCAAATTTACTTTAATATGAAAATTATCGTATCGGTTGCTTTACTTACTTATTTTATCATAAGATAAAAATTTCTTTCTCTCATTTTCAAAAAACTCCAAATACTACTACTTCAATCTCCAAAAGAAGAAAAAAATACATTCGAAGCTCTTCCCCACTTTCATTTTGTACATATTTTTACTTTGTACGTAGATTCTCATTACTTTTAGCTAGTCTAAGAGCAATAGATTCAGTAAAAAAAAAAAATATGAGCATCTGTAGACTTGACTGCTCCTTCTCGAAACTAATCAATATTTACCTCTCTAAGTACATGATGTGTTTTGAGTAACCATTTTCCTCTTCTTTACTAAAAAATGACTATTTCAACCTGATTTAAATCGAAGATATCAGAGAACTACTTATCCAACAACATCAAGGATAAATTGTAATTCAATAAGTATTAAGGAAGGTTAAAGAAAAACTGAATAGGAAAGTTTCTGCGCTTTCAAATAATGCAACTTTGAATTGATCTGATGAGGGAAAATAAAATTTACGAAGTAAAATCTGTTTGAATTGAATTTGACTACTGAATAATAGTGTTATTCAGTTTCCGATCATGGAGTCAAGTATATCAAAATAAATGCATAAAAAAATAATTTAAAGTTAGGTATCTCAAGAGGGCTTATGCATCACTAGTGACGCAAGGAGACCTATGTAACATATCTTTTATGTAACCAGGCAAGGCTAGTAGTCCTCGCCAGGAAATCGTGTATTTATATTGGTGAAAATATGGTATTGATAAAATAGTACAGCTTCAGGAATAATAACATAGAAAGAAACATACCTAAAGAGATTAAAATGATATCATTTCTAGTATACTTGCTTTGCTGTTTTTTTCAGCTTTCCATATTTGAAATTTGTGCCTTTCAAGTTTCATCTTTCTGCCCCCACAAAAGTTGCTGTTGATTACTTCTGTGCACCTCTTTCTTTGACTTAGTTGATTCACTGTGCCATTGTATGGTGGTTGATGTCCTGTTCCTCTCCCCCTGGTTGACCTTGCCCTCACACTCTTTTCTATAGCTTAATGACCTATAAAGTTTTCTCCTGTCCAAATGTAATCATTGATGTTTTTCCTCCTCGTTATTTTCTGTTTTCACTCTTTGCAATTCAAATACGGTTAGCTTTTAGTTTAATAGAAAGATAAAATGTTCAGTCTTAGAGGAAAAACTGAAGGTGGTGGCCGTTTTAATGTCTGGGCCCATTTTTGGACACAGAAAGGTACAGCCAATGGGAGAGAGGAATAGGACATTAACAAAATTTATGAGTAATAAGAATATAAGAGGAAGGAAATATCTGTCAACAAATGGGAGGGCGTGAAGGAAAAACGGTCACCTCCTGTTGTTTTTTCCTCCAAGTTTTTATCCAGGATACAGGAATTATCCAGAGATTATCCAGGAACTTTTCAGAGATTGTCAAATCTAGAAGATGGACCTCCATGTTTTTATATCTCGCCTTTCCAAGAGTAGCCCTTTATTTTTGAATTCCGGAGATTTTATTGGCATATGTTTAAAATGAAACTTCGTAAAGGGAAAAGCCTCCGTCAAAATTTTCACCTTGAATCCTAAGTTAGTTTTGGCCTCACAGCGATGCAAAGTTTTCATTTCCAGCATGTATCTCGTAATTTCCAATACTATACTCTGGAACTTTGCAATGTTGCAGCACCAAAACCAGCTTTGAACTCAAACTATAACTGTTATTAGAGGCACTTTTCTAATGATTTTGGAATTTTTATGGCGTTCTGTTTGCCAAATGATGCCAAATTGACCATCCCACTGATTTTGACCACCACTACCTGTTTTGTGTGTTATACATAGGTCAGACATATAAATTTGCAAAAATGTATTTTTCCATGACATGATTATATCAGTAAATTTCCCATCTGGTAGATCTCTTCCTATTTTTTCTTCGGTTTTTTTCTTTATGCAATACCTTAATGAGTGTAATATGATGTTTCCTCATGGTGCATTTGCGACCCCTCAAAATTTTGAAGTAATTTTGTACACCCACATGTCATCAAAGACTGAATGAAAAATAATATTCCTTGCAGTCGGACGAAATCGTCTTCATTTATTTTAAGATTTCGCCCAAAAAATGTCTCTGTACACTCTTCTGAAGTTTTTTCAGTGCCTGTGTGTGAGATTAATATTTTTGCTTTTTTATTAGGAGCTGCAGTAGATGGCGAAGAACGCTCATATGAAGATATCGATCGCACAACAATCCACCAAAGTGTGCCACAAACTGAAGTAAGAGAACCTTTTACTCCTAATAAATCACAATACCGTATTTAGTTTAGATTTTTCCAGTTTATCGAGACTGACTTTTTTAAACTTTTAAGTTCTGTAATTATTTTTTAATTTTATTTTATTTTTCTGTTCTTTGTGATTCATATATAGTGCAGTTGTTAAACATGACCTGAAATCCTCAACCATCAGTAAAATAATGTATACCAAATTCTTTGGTGTTCTTCTCTGTGAGGCAACTAACAACTAACTTAATAGATTCACCTGATCAAACTCTGGGTAATAGTACGGGGATTAAAACTCTTATGAAGGCGTACTCTAAAAACTCATATGAAGGTGATTGAAGGAAAGTGTCAGCAATGCCGTTTGTTTTTCACTTTTCAATGTACAATTAGATAACTATGATCTGTTGATGTTACTTTTTTGGCACTAAAAACATTTGCAGTTAGCAGATTTTGCGTAACAACTTTAGGGGAAAATTCTCATGAGGGAGATCAAATGTATAAGGCATTTTAACAACAGTACCGCTTTGCTTTGTCTCTGGAGTTCTAGAGTTACATCTCAGTTGATAATAATGAATAAATGGAAGCTCATCATTTCTCGAGTGATTAGGTGTGTTTGAGTAACTGTTGCGTTAGAGGTGCCATAACTTAATGTTAATACTAGTTTTATAATTCTGGCTTAATAATTTAGATCAATACTTTTAAGAAAGTATTTGTAGCTCTGTTTTTCTCAAACAATTTTAAAGCCACTCTATTTCGGCTTGGGATTTTTTCTGTCATAGAGGAAGAAAATATTGTCTATTAAATTGGTCAGATGAAATTGTATACCTACCAAATTGTTTGAAAATAAGAGAATCAAATCTTTTCAAGAAAAGGAAGAAAGAAGAAGTGCGAAAAATAACTACATTATTACTATAAAATGCGAATATGATTCGTAAGAATAAAAAGAAGCACTGCCTCTAAAATTCAAGAAAAAACTTGCTGAAGTTATAATCTAAAGAGGAATGAGATTGAACTTTGCAATACATTTATCTAGTATCGTATGTTTGTTCAACTATTATTTCTTGCACCATGGTTTTAGAAGAATGTACTTCTTGGTCAAATAAATAATTTCTTCTTTTCTTTTTGCTCCGCAAGCAGTCAAAATTTGGCACACAGGTAGTATAAGTTACCAATACTCTTTTCCTTGTTTGAAATGCATCAGGTTGACTTTGTCCCTTTTTGACTCTTATGCAGTTCAGTTTTTCATAAAATTCTGTGAAGCCTCTTTTCAACTGTTGACCCAAAAGTATGGCGTCAACGTACGCAAGGAAAGCGCTGCTCTTCCTTTTCAATTTGCATTGTGAATGAGACAAACGTGCATGCAATAATTAAGTAGTAAAAAAACTAACAACTTTAAACTTAAGCCTTAAATCAAATTCCCAAATTTTGCTATAGCAAAATGAGAGAAAGAATTTTGTAAATCTGCGTGTAGAGTTAACCTGAAGTTGCATTGTTGGCATTGCCAGGGTTGCTTTGCCTAGAGCTCACAGACCTGTCTGCCTTTGTTAAGCATGCTCACTTGCAGCTGTGGCTAGCTGTTGTAGGGGCAAGCACAGAGAAATGCCGACAGTATTGTTGGTTCATCAAAAGCTCTGAGGCCTGTCCGCCCGTGGGAAGCGGTTGGGGAAGCTTACTCCACCGCTGTGCCAGCATCCTTCCAAAAACCAAAGAATCTGCTCACACTGTGCTCACACTCGCACATCACTGTATCTGCTTTGACCGACTCTCTAGTCTGCTGCTTGTCGCGTGTGATGAAATCAAGGAATGATTGTGTATGTGTGATCCTCAAAAAACCTTTTTCAATCCTCTTATATTGAATTCCTTTAATTATACAAACTCTACTGGTTTAAACGAAATTGTCTATAATGTTAAGAGGGCAGATGGGAGTTGGAGCCCATAACTGGCTCAATGTGTTGTCTGCGGGTTGAAGTGCAAATGGATTGGCTCATTTAAATGACCTGGGCCTGCCCTAGCCCATCATTCCATAGAAAATGGATTGAGTCGCTCGCCCGACTCCACCACTCACCCACCACTTTTCGTGATGTGGATATCAGCATCGTTTGTTCAAAGAACCATACAGACTGGACCTATTTTTCTACTCAGAAGAGCTGGAGCATAGAATAATAGCTACACCAAACTGTTGATTTCTTACTTGAGATCGAAATGGTCACTTTTTTGGAGCGGACTTGAGACCGGTTCCAATTGCAGGGATTTCAAGAATTAGTGGAAAGATGACAAACTTGTAAGCAGTTTTGATACAAATTTAATAGAAGTCAAAGCTTTAAACATGATTAATAATATGATTTTATAAATGTAGGAAACACGATTTAATAAATGCTATTGAAAAGGTACTGGAATTCTCAATTTTCTTAACGAGTACATACTTTCCATTTATACTATTCTTTCTAAGTCTAAAATCTTGTAAATGATTACCGTATGGTCAGAGAATTAAATTTTTTTTCTCTTATTTACATGCATTGACAATCAATTGACTCTCATTTTATAAAACAATATTGAAATTATTTTAAATGATTAGCACTCTCACCGAAAAATTATATAAACGTACCTGTTTTCATCATATTTTTTTTCTATGTACCCTATTAACTCAATTCCTATCCTGTTAAAGCCCATCATCTCATTTTCTCACTTTTTTTACAGTTAGCATTCATATCATTATTCATTTAATTCTATCCTATTTCCCATAAAATTTGGTTCTATACTTCTTCTCGTATTGCAAAAAATTCGGATTTTTAAATTCAAAGTTATGTTTACACTCATGGTTTTCAAGCTTACAAACTCTGTTCAAATGATGCATTTTTGTAGAATTAGGTTTACAGAATTTTTCTATCAAGATCTAGCTTATTTTCCTGTATGAACCAGTGCTTCCATATCAACCTCTCAAAAATTATAATTTATCCTAAAAGTATTAAAATCCTCAGCGCCAAATATAGGACAGTTAGAACCCAGTGATTTATTTTGGTACATACATATTGTAGATTTTTACAAGAGCTGTCTTCATAACTGTCATGGTCATACATTTTTCTGTAGTAGGGGAGTCCAGGCAGTCAATGAAATATTGAATCATTGATAGAACTCGCATCAGATATGTTGACATTTATTGACTTTTGAGTATCATGCTCAGTGGACCATTTTAGGTATTTGCGTAAAGCATCATTGTCACCTTGGATCAATTTTTGACTGCTGTTGGATGATAGTGGCACAATGGCTTGCGAGCAGAAACTTTAGAAGTGTCACCCTATCTGACATGAGCTCTACATTTCTTTGAAGCCACTGAACTGGAAATATTGATCTCAGTCGCTGATAATTTCTTATGAACAGTATTTCACTTTTGTGAAGTCTACAAACATTTATTTAAATGTCTTTAGCACAGGAACAGACTCCCTGCCCCTCATCTTCTTTCCAGCTAGGTGCTACAGCATACATCTGCTACATTCCTGTGCAAGAAATTATACGCAATTGGACATGCACTTACATTTTGCGCAAAGTAGTCTCTATGTCATTCATAATTAAGAGTATAATTCTGAAGCATTGGAATATTCAGTGTGGAGGGGATGTGTAATCATCACCACAACTGAAATCAGTGAAGGACTGTCTAACTATATTGCTGGAGGGACATTTTTGAAGCATTAATGTTATTTGTTTAGCGTGTCTCTATCAGGGTATGTGTACCTAGTCTTAACCCATATGTATCTAAGTCTCCTCCTAAACCTCTACCATATTGTTCAGGTTTCTCTAGAATTTTATCCAGGGGTCTAAACCATGAATGACTTTTGTAACCTTATGCAGTTTCAACTCATACAGTATTTTGGGATTTGGTTTTGTTTCTAGTTTTATTAATTTTATTATAAACTAACACTAATGAATTCCAAAATCAGCTTTTGGATCAGACCAATGGCTCAGCAATAGAACTTAAGTAAAAGCCATCCCTTGGTTTTCCAAAAGATTTATATTGCTCCTTGTTCTTCCTGGTTTTTATATTTCTATTTCTTTTTTTTCTCCTTGTAATAGCCTATGTACTTAATTTCATTAGACAAATTATCAAGTCATAGATATTCTTACTTCTATTGCAACCATACTGGAAGTATAATTTTGCTTTTACATTAGTGTCAGTCTTTAATCGAGGGAGAGAATTTATGTGGAGCCCTATTTCTTCAAAATTGCACGTTAAAGAGTGGAATTTAGTCTCTTTTTATGTGCCTTCAGTAATTTTTGTGTGATTTAATGTATGAAGAAAATCAATTGATTCGGTTGTATCTCTAGTACACAACAAATCCATTGAGTTTGAAAAAAAAAATAAATAAATAAAACGTATAAATGACGGAAAGAACTACTTTCATTCATGTACATACATATACCACGAGCCTGCACACCATCCAAGTAGGTTTGATATCTACCTAATTCAATTTTGTATCTTCGCCTGTATTTTTTTAGTAGTATTTACTATGGTGTGCTTGCTTTTTAACTTGTAGGTCGTATTACAGCACTAACTTTTTGAATAGTTTGCCTAAAATCTGTCAATTTGCAGTATTTTTATGTATTTAAAAGTTTCAAACATAGTTGTTAATTCCAGTTATAAAGTATCTAATTAATTCTGTAAATTCAATCTTGATTACTGTATTTTCAGTTATTTGAGAGGAGCTTAAAACAAAACTAACCCAAGTTTATTGAACTTTACAAGTGGTATGACAGTCTATTTTAAAAGTTGTATGCAATTTTTTATTTATCCATTGTGTAGACAGTTTTTTTTTTTTTTTTGGATTGAGTTTTCTTTGAATTTAATTCAGAGGTACCTTTCCTTAGTCAATCACGTGTCAGTGATTGTCAAATACCTAAAATTCTTGTCTAATTTTGCATTAATATCCTCACATAAAATTATCTTTATTTCATTTTACTTCTTCAAATTAAATATGTCACATTGTCAACTGTATGCACCTTTGCTTCTTCAACTCCAAGTTCAATTGCTTCCTTGAAATTCTTAGAAAATATTTAAATAACGATGAGTTTTTTTTGTTATTTTTTAAACTGTTGGTTCAAAAACAGGTGTAAATCAGGAAAATTCTAGAAACGTACACCAAAAAAAAAAAAAAAAATCCGAAAATCGGGGCTATCAGAACTATGCCAGCTATGAAAATGAGGCATGATCAAAACTTACTATTGGCATTGACTAGCACTAGGAACACACTTATTATCGTCGTTATATCCTTTTATTATAGCTTTTTCAATAGCACCTACAAGGCTATTGATCCAAGCATGTGTATATCTGTGACAACGGGTTGAAGTATTTGTATTTCTGCATCTTGAAAATCAATCAGCAGTTGTTAATAAACGTTTAAAATTTTTACGATTTTTTGTTCTTTTTCTGCAAGTAACAATTGACAACTTTATGGAAGAATATTTTTATTGAATAGGTAGTTGGTACTGAAGTATGTGACCTAGTCTCTCTACAGTTCAGCACTTACATACATTTGAGGTATTCCGATGATAATTTTCAATCCTTCTTCTGTTACCCTTTTCTCACTTCATCATGATTCACATCATAAAATTGTGTGCCTTCATCTCCAATCTTTTGATAATTTCCCTCCATTTCAGGTTGGTTTGGATGCAAAACTTTCCTGTAAACAACAACCAAAAATCCCTCCAAAAACCTCCCAATGCAAATCTACTCCTCAGAAACATTCCAAAGAGACTAGTGAAGACGAAGTTCCAAATTCTTCCAAAACTCTTTCACACACACCTTCAGAAACCTCCCATTGTAAATCGAACCACAGTCAGTGCCTTACCAAAACTTATGAAGATGAACTTGTAGAACCTTCAGAAACCTCTTCGAGAACCTCCTCTAAAGCCTCGGTGTGCGAAGTCATCACTCCTGATCTATATCCTGAGGAGGCCCCTGAAGACAAAAATGTACAATCCTCAAAAACCCTCCACTGCAAACGAACTCCCGATCATTCTCCTGACAAAACTTGTGAGCGGAAGTGTTGAGTGAGCTTTTTCCTACAGTCAACTCGCAAATGACCGCCATAGGTCAACATTTAGAAGCAAAGATAATTTTCAAAATCCCAAAATTTCTTGTCCTTACATTTTCAATACCAATTTTGAGCTATTAATTAGATAGAATTCAGTTTTTGTCGTTTTCATTAGGTAAATAGGCACACATATTAAATCCAAAGAAACCGATAAATTAGAAAATCTTGTGGAGACTGAATGGTATGAATTTTCTTTTAATATTTACTCTAGAAAATCCCAAACCCTAAAGGTAGTGCACTGCTTTGCAATGGAGATCACGCAAAATCGTCATTTTTGGCTCATGTACAAAATCGCACTGAATTATCGGAGCCGATAGAGGATCCTTTAAGGTGCCTGAAAATGGTTGCTTTTGCTCTAAACCCTAGGGAACTCGAGAAACGGGAGATGAAATTGAAAATCTTTTAGTGCCCATAACTTTAGAACGGATCAAGTTTTATTTTTTTTTTTCATTTTTCTTACTTGCAAAATATTAAACGTAAACAGGCCTGTCAAATCAACCTTTAAAACTTGAAAGAAGGTTCATTTTTGAATTAGTTATGGGGATTTTTTCGTCATTGGACCTAATTTTTCCAGCTTTTTTTTTACTTTTAACTTGTCCTTTTTTTCATTTTTGTTTAGCTTTGAGCATTGTAGTTAGAGTTACCAACTTATTTTTCTCCAAAACAAGACCTCTCAAACTTTAAAACGAACTCAAAATTATGCTGGGGAAATGATTTTCGACCGTACTACGGTCGTTTAAAGTTGGCCCGGCGGTCCGTTATAGAGATTCTCGACAGTAGAGTAGAGCGCCCTAGGATGCGGCTCAAAAACTGCTTTGAAAGGGCGAAAAATTAAGGGAAAAAAGGGAGGGAAACTTTGTTGCATGAATAGAATTGCTGTGTTGGAGGATATTGTCAATTTTCGAAAATGACCGAAAGGTAAGTCGTACCTACCTACCCAAGGGCGCTTTACAGTGCTAAGAATGATTGACCATCGCGACAACTCCAAACGACCGCGGCCGTAGCCCAGTTGGAAAACATTTCCGCGGCATAATCTTGAGCAAGTTTCAAAGTTTAGGCGGCCTAGTTTTAAACAAAAATAGGTTTTTAGCACTAACTGCAATTCCTGCAACTAGGTAAAGGGTAAAAATTCTGACTAAAAAAAAAAAAACAAAAACGAAAAAAATTTAAGAAAGTGGCAAAAAATTCCTTCAGCATTGTTTACAGATGAATTTTTTTTCTACCCTCCAATCAATTTTTCACAACAAGAAAATGCAAAAACTTAACTCGTTTAAAAGTTCAAGGCACCTACAAATTTTCATTTTGTTCCGCAGCTGCCGCGGTTCCCCGCGGGATTTAGAGCAAGAACAACCATTTTTCGGCCCCTCTGGTAATCCTCTATCAGCCCTGAGAAGTAGGTGCAATTCGGGGGGGGGGGGGGAGTAAAAATATGCCGATTTTGCACAGTGTCCGTTTCCAAATTTTTGCGGCTCCGTGTGGTGCATGCTAAAAGGTTAGGTACTCTTGTTTCTCCCATCCAGATTTAAAAAATTGCATTTGCATTCTCATTATATCACAAATAGTAATTGACCTGCGCAAACAGCCTGCCAATTTGTAAACGCCTATGAAGAATACGCGTCCAAAATGTACGAAGCAAGAGGTCCTTACCATAGATTTTTACGTTGACTTACAGGGCCGGATTAAGGGGGTGGCCACGTGGGCCGCAGCCCATGGCGGCAAAGTGTAGGGGGCGACACATTTTGCAATCTTTTTGAATGTAGGTAGGTATATATCAAAAAAAAGAGAAAAAAATCGGATTCAGAAAATAAATTACAACGAGAGAAGGCGACAAAATCTCTCATTTTTTGAGAGTAATAGAATGGTAATTTCTGATTTTTTCCTCTTCCGGTGATACAAGAGACAGTACCTCTAATTAGTCGAGTTAAGAGAGAAACCAAACTCGCAATTTGACCTGGGGCAAAGCGGCGCAGAGATCAATGATGACGAAGACTGGGATGAAAAGGAGAAGCCCTCGGCGCAGCGCACAGTGCGGCATCCTTATGGAAGATGCGGACGAAAATCGGTAAAAGACACTTTAACTTTAAATGATAAAGATAGTAGCACCGTCATAGAAAAAGTCTTCGGCACTATCAAAGTAAAACACTCGAGGGATGAGAAAATGTTATATTTCAGGATTTTTTGCTTATTTTTCGAGAAAAGTTCATTTGAGGTTATCAACCTCGAATCAGCCCTGCGTTAACAATATAAAACCAACATGAAACGCCCAAATTTTAACTTCAAATATCTCTGATAGTCGCGAAAAGTCGCAAGATCTTTTCGGGAGGATTGAAAGTTGGATATCTGAGGATTCAAAAAACGTCAACCACTCAGAACATTTTGTGTTTCAAGCAAGAAATCTTAATTTGAAGTTGACGTCTTTTTCCCGTGTATTTCTTATGGACCAGTGATTCTCGACCCATTTCCCGCCCACTTGCTATCCAAATTTGAGGTAGTTTTGGGCGAAAAATTGGGAAATGAACCATCATTGTGAGTCAGAAATATATTTCAAGATGACAAACTCAAAAAAAAAATTTAAGTATCGAGTTGTGAATTTTTGACTTTTGTCCGAAGAGGGCCGCACTTTGCGGCGCGCGCCTTGATACAACTATACAACCTCGACGGATGTCCGTGTTGCGTTCAAGAAATTGAAGGCGTTTTGGCTTCCTACGCATCATACCTGTAGTTTATTAGATCGACAAACGCGTTGGTCGGCGGTGACGGGGACTTGATGCAACTTTTTAAACTAGATGGCTGTCCGTATCGCACCGACTGAAGTGCGAAACCACGTATCTCCATTGCGGTGTTTCAAAATTTCCGTTCTTAATTCATCTCTTCCATGAGAAACAATCCAAATTTACGACTTTAAATTTTGAACCAAATCTTCTGCAATCGAATACGAAAAATCATGGGGAATTTAAGTTTTATGTTGACCAGCTTCTCGAAAGAAAAATAAAATTTCTAAGGATGTCTGCAACGTCGCAAACGGAGAAACGTCGTCTTTCATTTTGCCCAAAAATATGTATGTTTAAAATTGAAGGCAATATGACTGTCCTCCCTCAACTTATATTCGTCTGTAACGATAAACAATGGGACGCGTTCGCTACGGCGCCTTGATACAACTATAAAGCCTCAACGGATGTCCGTATTGCGTTCAAAAAATTGAAGGCGTTTTGGCTTCCTACGCATCATACCTGTAGTTTATTAGATCGACAAACGCGTTGGTCGGCGGTGACGGGGACTTGATGCAACTTTTTAAACTAGATGGCTGTCCGTATCGCACCGACTGAAGTGCGAAACCACGTATCTCCATTGCGGTGTTTCAAAATTTCCGTTCTTAATTCATCTCTTCCATGAGAAACAATCCAAATTTACGACTTTAAATTTTGAACCAAATCTTCTGCTATCGAATACGAAAAATCATGGGGAAATTAAGTTTTATGTTGACCAGCTTCTCGAAAGAAAAATAAAATTTCTAAGGAAGTCTGCAACGTCGCAAACGGAGAAACGTCGTCTCCCATTTTGCCCAAAAATATGTATGTATAAAATTGAAGGCAATATGACTGTCCTCCCTCAACTTATATTCGTCTGTAACGATAAGCAATGGGACGCGTTGTTTATCGTTACAGACGAATATAAGTTGAGGGTGGAAAGTCATAATGCTTTCAATTTTATACATACTTATTTTTGGGCAAAATGAGATACGACGTTTCTCCATTTGCGACGTTGCAGACTTCTTTAGAAATTTTATTTTTCTTCGAGAAGCTGGTCAACATAAAACTTAATTCTCCATGATTTTTCGTATTCGATAGCAGAAGATTTGGTTCAAAATTTAAAGTCGTAAAGGATTGTTTCTCATGGAAGAGATGAATTAAGAACGGAAATTTTGAAACACCGCAATGGAGATACGTGGTTTCGCACTTCAGTCGGTGCGATACGGACAGCCATCAAGTTTAAAAAGTTGCATCAAGTCCCCGTCACCGCCGACCAACGCGTTTGTCGATCGAATCAACTACAGGCTACAGGTATGATGCGTAGGAAGCCAAAACGCCTTCAATTTTTTGAACGCAACACGAACATCCGTGGAGATTGTATAGTTTTATCAAGGCGCCGCACAGTGCGGCATCCTTATGGAAGATCCGGACAAAAGTCGGTAAAAGACACTGAACTTTAAATCATGAAGATAGTAGCGCCGTCATAGGAATTCTCTTTGGCACCATCAATGTGCAACACTCGAGGGGTGAGAAAATGTTTTATCTCAGGATTTCTTGCGTATTTTTCGAGACAAAATCATTTGAAGTTTGCAACCTCGAATCAGCCCTATGTTAACAATGTAAAAGCAACGTGAAACACCCAAACTTTAACTTCAAATATCTCTGATAGTCGCAAAAAGTGGCAAGATCTTTTTGGTAGAATTGAAGTTGGGTATCTGAGGATTAAGAAAACGTCAACCACTCAGAGCATTTATCGTTTCAAAGGAGAAATATTCATTTGAAGTTGACGTCTTTTTCCCGTTTTTTTCTTATGGACCCGTGATTCTTCACCCATTTCCCGCCCACTTTCTACCCAAATTTGAAATAGTTTTGAGCAAAAAATTTGAAAATGAACCATCATTGGAGTCAGAAATATCTTCAAAATGACAAACTCCAAAAAAAAATGATATCTATCGAGTTGTGACTTTTTGACTATAGCCCACACAAGCCCGCACTGTGCGGCGCGGCGCGGTGACCGACCGCTCGGCGCTCTGTGTTTAGCGCAATGTGTGAAGTATTCCTGCACTCTTGTAGGCGCTAATATGCGTTCCGAGCCGACCAGCAACCACACTGTCCGCACTGGGTTTACGTGGAATATTCTTGCAGTCTTATAGGGGCTAATGGTACATATTTGCGCCCCTCGCATGTCAAAGGCGCTGCGCCTTTTGTCTTTTCTCCCTTTCATTTTTGCGCCCCTTGCAACTATACCCCCCCCCTCCCCGGTTGGTGCGGCAGAGGTGATGGTTACGC